ATACATCACAAAGATAAATGCAATTGTCAGTTTTGAATTCTGTTTGAAATTCGTGTTTCTATGATATCATCCGCTCATTGTAAGGCAAATATACTGAAAATTACATGCATCGTAAATCTGACCACTTTTGACACTTTACCAAATCACCATTCACAGCGTTTTGCGTAATTTATAGTAGAGTGTCTTAAATCAAATACTAAATTTTACTGGGAGAATTGAATTTAAAAGAATAAAATACCCATATCATTGTGATCAGCGGTATTTTGTTGTTGTTTGATGAATCATCAATGCTGATTCTCAAACATTGTAGATGAACCGAGAATCGTTGAGAATGTTTTGGAATAAACACAATTAACGTCAAAGTGAATGTTCAGCCATATTACAGAGTGTTTAAAAAATCACCTCACACGTATGTCGGTTATGTTTCGCCCATAAAATCAATTGTATAATTCAACACCATCTTCCTTACATGAATCCCTAAATTCCTAATACAGTTCAAAATAATATGACAAATGGTCTTTGTCACCAATACCAAGTGTTTCAGTGAAATCTAACAAAATATATCAGATGACGGGCTGGAAAAGGACCACTTGTTTGAAATATAAACAAAGCCAATATCAGATTTTACACTGTGTATCCGTTCGCCTACTTGTTGCATACACTTGCTCACTAGTTTTAGAACATGCATGGGGAAGATATCGTAGCAAGCGATAGTTAAAAAAATAAGTGTATTCCAATAGTTTCCTTGATTCATCACAACATATCTATAGTTTCTGAAAGCGTGACGCCATGACTGACGTGAACTCACGCACAACGATGACGGTACTTCTCTTAATTTCTGACTATTTCACTTGCGTTGGTCACAATGAAAACAAAACGAAAATAACAACCAGCAGACTGTCTTACTATAATACATGTCACATTTATGCATATACGTTGCTTGAAACAACGAAAGTTTCCATCGAGAAATCTGGTGTAGTCGTGTCAGTGAACACGCCATTTTGAGAAAGTCGCTACCCGATAGTGATGTCACACGTACGTGAACTTTGTTATACATATTTGGTAGTTTCAATGAGGTGAGGTTATGCATGAAAATACTCACGATCTGTCCTGCTGCTTACATTTTCAGTTCTTATGCTTCTTTCGTATTTTTTTACATCCGTGTTTTCGCGTGATGAATTTCAGTATTATTATCTTTTGATTTTGGAAATCTAAAATCAAGTGGCACCAATTACGTCATAGTCAAAGGGCGATAAAACTCTCGCCTGTTTAGCTCGGCAAACAAAGGCCTCATAATGGCATAACATTTCAGCACTTATTTTGACGGTTATACTTTCATTGTAAGAAAAATGAGTGTATATTTTCAAACACTGATATTATCTAATTAAAATATTTCACTTTGTTTAACATAAGAATAAATCCGATTTTTTTCGTGTACACTCCCCCTTCAAAGATATTTGCTTCACCACCACACCGTTGCAACCTTTGCGATAGACAAAAAACATAACTTAGTGCATCAGAACTTGACGAACATGTTCGTGTTTGGTGGCCTACAAGTGCGCTCCGTGTCAGTATCCAATATCTAAATGAGAAAAGTAATCAGTTAAACATAGGCAGGGAACCTGCAGCGGTTAGCTAACCTTCATTACTGTCCCCATCTGATCAGTTGATTATTCATCAATGTTTAAACAAGGGGCCAACATCTTCTTCAATTAAAATCTTCAAAAGAAATGTGGATTTTCCTTAACGCCTGTCCACCACTATCACTGAATAGTTCATGAGATACTGGGTGCAGCGAAGACCAACCAGTTTCTTTTGCAGATAGATTTCTGAGATGACAATGCTCAAGAAATACATCATCGTGAAAAAAAAGATCTGTCTGACTCTTGGCGAAATTCTAAGAATGATAAGCTACAACCTTTCTGTTTGTATGGTTAAAACATTTCTAAATGTTGTAGGCTCGATTGTTACTGTTAAAGGCATTCGCTTTTGTTGAATGTTTTTTAACGCCGCATTTACCAATTGTGCAGGAATATATATGGTCTGCAAATAACCAAGTCTGGACCAGAAAATGAAATGATTGACGTTAAAATCATCCATCTACGGAAATGGGATACGATGACATGTGTCAGCAAGATCAGTGACCACTCCAACCTGCTAGTTTCCTCTCACGACAAGCATGGGTGTTCAATTAACCTTTAAGTACAAACAAAATATATGTAGTATATGAATGTAGACAGTACAAAATGACCGTTTTGATTTCAGGTGCTCATCAACATACTTTTGTTTAACCGTAATTGACGCTTACATGATACACCGGCTTGCTGAGTAGAACGACAAAACCCTTTCCACATCCGTCCGAAATCGCTGCTTATCGTGACTTATTCGGTTAGTGCATTCATGGAATCGATACCACCAGATTGCCACATTAACAGCTCTGACAATTCCTGCGTTGAGGCCAATTATGACAAAACCGTAAGAAATTTGACTCTTGATAACATTGCTGTACTGCAGTCTGTAACTTCAGATCTCTCCCCCATAAAACACAGAACACCTGGGAAGAACACCTGACACCTACCTGTAACAGGACGAGAATCAAATGGTAAGATCAGTTCAGATGAGTCAATATTTTATTGATATTTAGAACACCCGAGGGCTGTTTACAATCATCTGGCGTCTTCAATGCGCCGCTGCATCCTCGCCTATATCAAAGCAAATGGTAGTAGTCGCACCCGAGATTGACATTGTTAATTAAGTTAATTGTATCAACACCTACCAGGTTTTGGTTTCGTCAATGAATCTGTTAGAGAAAACACTGACCAGATAAAATCTTCAATAAGATAACATTTGCACCACTTCATATGAAGCAGTTTCCTTTGCCCTGTGGTATTTATAGTAAGAAGTAATAGATTTACATTTTCACTCATTAAATACGTACACTAATTATGCCTACGTTGGCGTGTCAGAGACGATTTCAAGTGAGTAACTATGATCGCGTATGTGACCTGATCGCGTGTGTGGTACTGCCACGACGGAGTTGATGGCTGCTCATGCGTTGCGGTGGGCATTCCCAGACACGCAGTGATATAACTGAAATGCTGTTCTGAGCGGCGTTTAACCCTATTGGTGCGTACTACTTCAGTGCCCATATCACGGGGTGTGAGCTAAATGAGGAGGTTTATCTGAATTGATGTAGGCAATATAAACATGTTTCTCTGTGACGTTACCAGGGGTACGGGTATGGCATCACGACCTAATATAAAATGGCACCATTTTAAATTTCTGCTAATCATTTGGGTAATATGCTCAAATGTATTGGTATTTGTTCATAATTCTAATAGAAACATCAACGTAGGCGAATAGGAAAAGCAAATAAATTCTTTCAAAGTTTCAGTTATTGCCAAAAGCATGTTTTATTTTTCTGATATTATTTTTCTTGATTTAAACCACTTTTAAAGATCGCATTCAGATATCACATGACTCGCTCACAGCAGTAAATAGACAAAATAAGTTGTCATGGAAACCAAAACCATCCGTGTCACGTAAAGGTGTATCGAGCTCAGATAAGGCGTTTCATAAGCATTGGGACGGTCCTGTGGTTAAAATGTTCACTTCATAGCCCATTTCTGGATTCCTCTGATATTGCTGGAATCTTGCTAAACGCGACGTATGACCATAATCACTGCTATCCCCAACTCAAAAAGTACTGTGCCTTTAAAATAGAAAGAATCGTTATAAAGTTGAAGGTCTTTTGTCAATATGTGTGTTCGTCTAAGTAAATACATATACTTCATGCGACCCAGTGCATTGAAGTCATACATTTTATATAAAAAAATTTCTCAGAAATTGTTCGCCTGTTCACTAGAAGTGACCGGGTTTAATGCTTAGTGGCATCAGTGGCCACTACGTCTGCATCAATACACCTTGATCATTTCTTATCTCATAAGATTTCTTTCACTTGGTTTCCCACACAGAACATCATTTTTCAGTCTTACATTCCTGCAAGAAAATCGAATATAAGTCAAATCGGACTTACATTTTAAGCGTACCCAATGAACCGGATTCGAAAAATATGAGACGATCTGGTGCCGGATTATATCAATTTGTCAAAATCTGCAGGCAAACGAAAAGAATTGAAGAATGTTTTATAGTGCGTCAAATGTTGTTTTAGGTTCTTTTGTCTTCAAAATGTTGATTAAATCAGATTTGGCGTAAAGGAACAGTTTTACCAAGAATTGGAAAACTGGGTAAAAAGCACGACTAAAGCTTCTCACTCTGCTGGTGTTTTCCGCAAAGCCAAATTCTGATATAAAACATGTTTCAGATAATTTACAAGCGGTTTGTTTTAGCATGTTCAAATTAGCCTAAGCCTCTTTTCGGCACCTTAATACCATCCGCTATTCCAGCGTGATGCCCCAAACCAAGGCATTATGAAATATCAAACCAAGGCATGGACTTAGATTTTGATGACTCAATCCTCGACTCGAGCGAGGATGCGATGTTATTTTAAAGCCGCCATAAAACGAAGAAATTGTGTTCACAGCTTGCCGTGTTGCAAACACTGCAGCTTTTCAGGACACTGCGTTCCAATAAATTTAGATTATATGCAGTTTATGGAGACAGCAAAGGTTTACGTCCCTCCGAAGACAGTTTTACTTGCAATTCCAGATTGGGGAGAATTTTTCCAAAGGTGCACCACGAGATATAAAACCTTAATAACTAACTCTATATGTCTTGCGTGCACTTCTTTAACAGACTTAAAGTAATGTAAATTAAAGAACGAAATGGAATCATGGTGGGCCAGTGTTGGAGCTTGTCAGACATTCAGTCGACGATATCAAAAGAAGTGTTGGCATATGCATAAACAAGATAGGATCCAGAGTACTACGTTTCATCACTACTAAGACATATGAAGTGGCATTGGTAGTAATATACTGCCCATGGTAGAGCACGGTATATGTGTATATTTATCCATGTCTCGTTGTATACTTTGCTAACAGTCCATGCAGGTATCAAAACTACTGCAAGTCCCCATGGTCCCAAGCGTGGTGATCTTCCTTCAGTTGCTGGTGATTATTAGCAATATATGGTATTGTTCTCTATAGTGTGAGGGAGTGAGTGAGTTAGTTATGCCACACTCAGCAATATTCCAATTATATGGCGGCTGTCTTGAAATAATCGAGTCTGGACCAGACAATCCAGTGATCAACAATATGAGCATCGATCTGCGCTATTGGGAACCGATGACATCTGTCAACAATGTATTACATGGCTCTGCTTGAGGAAATTCAAATCACATTGAATCACATTCAATTGCTTGCCTCAACTCTTTACAGGTCGCCACTGTAAATAGAAACGGGAAAAACCTTTCCACTCCCCACAAGAAAGTCGATTGAACGATTTCGACTGAATTCTGTTTATAAAACAGCATTTATAAAACACTACCAAATGAGTGAGGATGCCACGTCTTTGCATGAAAGGTGATGGTACCCAACACCCGTCACAACACATGCAAAAGGCTCGTCATTTGTGCACCTGAAATAAATCATTACAAATCAAAATAGGCAATTGCATGGGACATCATCATTTTGTCATTGATGCGTACCACAAAGGCGAGAGCAGTTGGGATATTGCTCAGCATAATGGGACGCTTGTCACTCTGAATCTTTGTGGATGGATTTAAACATGGAGCATACGAGGCAGTTTCACTGGTCTAGATGCTAACGTGTTGTCTAAATGTTTTACCCCAATTTGTACAAAGATTTAGTTAATGAAGAAGTCCAGCATATCACATTTCACGTCAAATGAGATTTCTTTTCATACTTTACAGATTGTCCTGGATCTATGAACATAGATATGTTGATGTATCTTTACTGGGCACGTGTCTTAAATAATGCCCCACAGGTAAAGAAACGTAGTTTCGCTTGGGCTTAAAACTATATTCACCCAATCACAGGTCCAATTATAGCCAGTGGTTTTCATGGTAGTATTGCTTTGTCATTTCTCTTTCCACGTATACCATGAGTGTAATAAAATGCTTCATTGACAAATATCTCATTAACATTATCAGAATGAAACACATACCAGAACGACACATCTCAGTTTGTCTTGAAAGGTCACCCCACCGCTCACGATTGCAGCAAATCTGTACCTGAACAGATATTCTGTTGTTCGCTGTAAATGATCTATGGGACTTGTGGGAAAACTCATTTTTTAGAAACATGACTCGGTTCGGGAAAAACTGTAAGAATAATTTTGTGTTCACTTTTGAGTAAAATAAATAACTATCCATTAGAAACCAAGGACTGTTTATGCAATATGGACGCAAAGGAACCAGCGAGACGACAATTTCTCGGGAACGTAACTCCCAGAACCCATCAAAATAAAATGGCAAATCTCCAATGCCTAATGACTTATCCGTTTTGTGGCACAATCATGTGGCCTTACCTGGGAGGGAGAAGTCTGTGAGGCCGCACTCTATGAGATTATGCAGCTAGAAGCAAGGTCGACAAACAAATGTCGGTTGAAGGGATCAAGGATTTAGCTGCTCGCTTAAATTCCGTGGGGAGCTTGTCCTAGCGTGCACCTGTAAACTAACGCCTTATTGAAATTTTACATTTTGAAAGAGAACTAGTCATCAATCAATAAATCAATCACTTTCTCACGAAACTAAATAAGTGTCGGCCTCGAAGAACTTTCCCATCTAGGATTAATACTAACGTTATTCTTGGATTGGTGAGAGGCAGACAAGGCCTGTTGACGACACCACATCTAACGGACATACATGATTGTACATGCATATTAGAAATCTTTGTCTGTTTCAGACATTGCTAGAGGCGTGGTTCATGTTAAACGGCTACCCTGTTTGCAGTATAATGTACTGGGTTGATTAAAACGTCATTGGAACAGTTCGGTAATCCATTATTGAAAGCGCGCTCTCACCTTAATATACACTTTCCACAGAAGTCAATATCTGTCTTCAGCTAGTCAGAGACCTCCTTAATAAGACAGGTATTGGGCTGGTTTCCAAATGTACAGCTGATTTTATTCGATACGTAAAAGGGTGTAGATATAGTATTTGATGTAAAACGGACAATTTCGTTGTTCCTGTCATAATAATATATAACACTGCCGGGCAAATGAATGAACACATTTGAAAAATGGATATGGCTATAAAATTGTGTGCATGTCAATATGATATTTGGTTGAAAGCAGCTGCTGAATCATTGCAAAGCTAAGGTCCAAAACACAGCATTGACACCCAGATGTTTCAAATACCTCGCTATCGTATATCTTGTTTGTTTCATTTTTCTTCTGTCCGGAAGTGAGTGAGTGAGTTATTATTTAACGTCACATCGGCAATATTGCAGCCATATTGTGACGAGCTGTTACATCGCTTCTCATTAAGTATAACACAAACATGTACATAGTGATCAGGATGTCTCTCATTTCTTAGTGACGTAACTCAAACGTAGTTGTCTCCCTTGACTAGCTATCAAACAGTTATCTTCCTTGACCATATACTGTCTGTTTAGTCAAATAAAATCATGTGTAACGTGGTAATTATTCTGTATCAGAGAACCAGGGATGAAATGTAAATATCAAATTCTCATAGCTCATCAATTATTCCATATATTTCTTAAAAATACTGAATAGTAAATATTTCAACTTTCGCATTTGGGAAATGGAAAATGATATCCAAAAAATGCAGAATTAAACGGTAAGACAGCCCACTGGCTAAAGGAAACTCTAGTTGTATTTAATGTGTTTTATGCCGAAAGAAATCAGTTAAATAAAACATCTCTGCCCACAATACCGTGCCAATGAATACATTTTCTGCCTTCAAAGAAATATGCCTCGTTACTGGACAAACCGAATTGGATTAAAACATTTATATTTCGGTGATATGCCGATGGGAGAATTAAAACAAGATATGTAACTTTGAACTTTAGCAGAACCACGATAGGGTACTGCTAAGAAAATTAGCCTAAACTTCACACAGACAATTGAAGCTGTCGGTCTGTCGAGAGCTCTGACAGCCCCCTCCGGCTACTGTCTTCCTGCAGCAGTGCCATCATTACTCAGACACCTAACCAATTCAACAGCCGTGTTTTAGGACCTCCCCTGACACAGTTATAAATGATAGGTCTGCAAATGTCAACAACCTACCAGTGACAGCATCTTAATTATTAATAATAATGACAGCTTGATGATGACGACACTGTTTGCTTTGGACAAAACGACGATGGTGAAACAATCTGTAGATAAAGATGACTTAGATTAATAAATATATGAAGAAGATGAAAACGAAGGGTGAACGATTAACGTAAATAATTGAGTGAGTAAGTAAAACTTTAACGTCACATCGGCAATATCTCGGCAATATAACAATCCATACAATAAAAGGTGAAAACATTTGGAAGATTAAAACCTGTCGACGATGGACAGTAAAATACTAGAGAATCACATATATGATTATAAAACTAGTGAGGAAAGATAAAAAATCAATTAAAGAAGACAATACAGTATAAAACACGGGCTATAGATCGCCAACAACTGAAGGTAGATCACTATACTACCAAGGAGCCATAGGGACTTACATCACTGGCTACCTGCATGGATCCTAGCTGTATTTTTTCACCATCCTTTAGGCGCTGGCGATTGTAGGAAAATTTAGCCAACAGTTCAAATAACAAAAATACCACGTTTAAAATGTGATAATATATACTTTACTTTGAAAGTTTGTGACTTACGTGTGCCCTCTCAGGAGGACAATCATTTCACGGTACTTTAACCCTTTTGAGAATTTTAGCCACTAACAATCAAATTTACTAATCTAAGCTACCAATCGTTAAAATACATCTATCACAGAACATTTTATTCCAAAATTCATCTGTGAAATCAATTCTTTTAAAAACAATAATTAAATAGAAAGTAACAGTGTTAAAAGATCCTTAACTGTTTTCACGCTTAAGCCATTTATCCGCTTATGATGGAGAATTCAGCACAGATAAAGCAGGATATCCTTGACCGTATGACTCTCTCATCACAAAGGGATTCAAAACGGAGGATATTCACCTTTCAACAAGTATTGGTGAGTATAACGCGTATGTCCAATGCGCGCATCGTCGCATGATAACCTCCTCAAATCTGGATTGACAACCCAAGTAGGTGTAACAATATAGGGTTTATTCATGTAGTTTATTGATACCTACTTGGGTGTGCCGCTTCTTCTGCATCAGATCCCGGATGTGTAAGTTCTAATACTAGCTTTGTAATCAAGTATGGAATAATAGTGAAGTGAAATTTACAGATTTAATTTGGTGCTTACTTGCTTATCAGCAAAGATCGAACATTAGCGTGTTCCCAGAAATGCCAACATGGCTGAAGTGACTTACAAAGAAGATGTCGCATTGGCCAGTAACAAGCTCATCATACAATTCAATAATTTCTTTTAAAGTGGATGTTTACAAGAAAAGATTTTTTAATAGCCTGAAGACGCGAAAGAGAATCGGAAAAGGAATTGATGTTATGTTTATATTTATGGTGTTTATTAATATATTTAAAGAGCTGTTAATATAGCGTTACACCTTCTGCTGTGAAAATATGAGAACTGTTATTTGGTAGTCCGAGGAAGATATTGTTCTGGATCCAATGACAGTGGCACATGCCACCGCGCCACCATCCATGGACCAATCTGTAAATAAAGGTTGTATATGTATATTATATTTAGTTTTTAATTGATTATATTCTTGTTTATATTGCTTAAGTCATTGGTTTCAGAGTTCTTAAACTTTGTCAGAGTTAGAGTCAACTTCAAGGCCTCACAAGTTACAAGGAGGAGAAGAAAGACAGGGAAGGAGAATATGTCCCTAAGTTAGTGTCCCTTAGAGCACGTCCGGATCCTGCTAAAAGTGGGTTCTAATCCCAGATTCACTTATGTGGTGACGTTAAGTACAACAAGAATGTCCAGAGTCGTTTTTGCATAGTTGCGTGCTTTGGGCACCAAGAAACACACGACTGTTATTTCAAATCCAGGTTTTCATGGTCGGTCTTACACCCGCATCGTGGGGTTTCAGGT